TACTCTTTCTTCTCAGAAACACACCACGTTATCACAAACACAACCCACTCGTACTCAACCCAAACGCAACAACCTTAACACAGGCTCACAAAATACTGTAATGTCTCCACCAATAACCCATGCAACAACAGAAATACAACTTCAAGAACAAAGAAACACCATAAATACAAGTAACGCAACATGCACTACAAAGACAGGTCCATCCAATAAAGTTACACGCCCTAGCACAGTTAAAAAACACAATACTCCTTCTTCTCAGAAACAACCCACTCGTATACAACCGAAACGCAAAAACCTTAACACAGGCTCACAAAATACTGCAATATCTCCACCAAAAACCCAAGCAACCTCACAAATACGACCTCAGGAACAAAGAAACACCATAAATACAATTAAAAAACACAAAACTCCTTCTTCACAGAAGCACACCACGTTATCACAACCCACTCGTATTCAACCCAAACGCAAAGCCAAAGAAACACTTACACAATAAACTCCATTTAATAAAATTACAGGAATTATTATAATGATTTTTTTTTTTTTTTGTTTTCCTCTTTCCTGATAGCGTTGGCTATTGTGCCCATCAATAGGTATGTTGGTAAGTACGAATTACATTATCCCTAGATGTCCAATGTACGTGTGTGATTTTTTTATTTTATTTTTTATTTTTTTTTTTATTTTTTTTTTATTTTTTATTTTTTTTTTTAATGACCCTACATAACTTCACCAGACACAGACACAGACACTAATCGTTACTTGATTTTAATCCGTGCGATTAGTTAACCAGGCTAGACCTGAGTTCTCACAAGAAACACCGATAAGAATAATAATAATAATAATAAAAAAGCAAGTACATATAATACCATTCATAATATCAACAACTGGAATCACACACAAAACATTTAAACAACATTTACAACAACTTGATCTAGATACATACACTCATCATCACATTCAGAAGGCAGTCATACTCAAAACCTGCAGCATCACCAGAACTTTCCTCAGAAATAACTAGCCAGACTTGACAATAGTCCGTTTGACTAGGATTAGAACCGGCAAGACCGAGAAAATCAAATAATAATAATAATAATATATATTTCATCTTTTGGCCATTTAGGTACATGGATAAGATAAGTCAAATTGTAAACAGACAAACAAACAGTAAGATTTACGACAAACAGGTAATGATAAAACTATCACACTATCACTGAACCAATTACTGATATTCCGCATGGTCTGATTACATTTATTTGCGACACGATTTCTATCTCTGTCTGAAACAATTATAGATGTATCATCAGCATATAGGGTGATGACAGCGTTTTCCTGTGCATGTTGTATAAGATCATTTGTGTATAGAATAAACAAAATTGGAGCCAGAACTGTTCCCTGTGGAGTGCCTACATTAAGTGTCACAGTATTTGAATTTATGAAGTTATTGGTACTTTCCCAAGTGTGTGTTAATGAGACGTATTGATGCCTGTTGCACAAAAAGTTGTTTAACCATTTCAAAGGAATACCTCGAATACCGTAGGAGGATAGTTTTGCAAGTAATCTATTATGGTTTAAGCAATCAAACGCCTTGGATATGTCACAGAACACTCCAATTGATGCTTCTTTTTTTCAATTGACTGCAGTATTTTATCTAAGAAAAATTGGACGGCGTCTGCTGTAGATGTATTTGGTCTGAATCCAAACTGATTTCGACTAAGTACATTACATTTTTTTAGGAAACTTTCTAATCTATCTAAATAGCAATATTCTAGAGTTTTTGAGAATACTGATGTTATGGCAATTGGTCTATAGTTGCTTGCATCTTCTGCACTACCGCTTTTAAAAACCGGAATTACTTTTGCTAGTTTTAAGGCAACTGGGAACTCTCCAGTCGCGAATGACAGGTTTACAATGTGGGTTATAGGTTTCGCAATTACTTTAGAAACAAATTTAATTAAGGAGCATGGGAGTTCATCCGGCCCTGCTGATCTTTTGTTTTTTATTTTTTTGTTTATAAGCGTTATCATTTCTGGTTCACAAAAGGGTGTTAGATACAAAGATTTTGGATTATGGTTTAGTTTAATTGTTTTGTTTGTATGTTTGGTAATTTTTGCAATTGTCTCATAGGGAATGTTTTTAAAGTGGTTATTGAAAGATTCTGCGACATCGTGGGGGTTTTCAATGTACACTGAACCCTTTTTCAATTTCAAGTTTCTAGTTTGGGAGCCGCGTTTGCCTTTTATAAATGACCAAGCGCTTTTTACCATGTTATCTGAGTTAAGAATAGTGTTTTGGACATACGCCCTGCGAACATGTTTAATTAGGGTCATATGCTTCCTTTTCATTTCTATGTATTGAGGCTTTAGCTCGGGATATTTACTTTGTAACATGTAGAATGACTTCAAGTTTGCACTAGACGTCCTCACGTCCTCATTAACCCACCCTTTAGGAACGTTTCCGTTTTTGTTCTTATATAGATAAGGAAAGACATTGTTGAAGTGGTGAGACACTATCTTACTAAATATATTAAAAGCAGTCTCTACATCCGATCCTCGTAACACTGGATCCCAATCTTCTATTTCCAATTGACTATAGAATTCTCTACGGCGATTTTCATTATAACTTCTAATCCGAATTTTTTCGCTATAACTTGGAGCATCTATATTTGATTTTATGAGAACGGTACTGTGATCAGAATTTCCATCAGTATCCTGAGTGCCTTCCGCTCCGCCCTCCTCAATGTTCGTCTGTTGCTCCTTGTTAGCGCGGAGGTGTTAACTCGGTATAAGATTGTCGGTGCTATGATCGTGTTGTCCGGATTCCCTGTGTCATTCTGAATGCGTTGGTTATTCTATCTTTCACTGTGTTATGTCTGCTGAGTGTGCTGCTTATGTACGCTCCCAGATATTTAATCTTGTGCTTCATAGTTATCTCCTTCCCGGCTATTATGATCTTCTCTCCTTCTTTGTACTGGGCGTTGCTGCCTGGGTCTCTTATCACCATGTAGCCCTTTTCGTTGTTTATTTGTAGGCCTACCATTTCCAGGTATACCTCGCTGGTTTGGACGAAATCCACAATGTCTTCTAACTTATCCGCGTTAGCGTGGTCAAGTGCTATCGTGAAGAGCCTTGGGGAAAGCGGACATCCTTGTTTGATTCCCCTGGTTTTCTTTTGCTACTCGGTCTTCTTCTCAAACCATTATATACCAGTATACCCCCTTAGGCACGCGTTTATGATTCTGTTGATTAGGAAGTTTGGCGTTGTCAGGGAGGTGGCTATTGCCTCATGCTTCACTTGGTCAAAAGCCTTCGCCAGGTCTATTGCTAGAAGCCATTTTTTGGTTCCTGTCCTCAATTGTTCGTCTAGGATCCTCCTGGTCGTGAATATATGGTGACCAGTTGATGTTCCTTTTAGGAATCCTGCTTGGTATGCTGGTGTCTCGGGTTTGTCGCCCCCTAGGCATTGTAGTAGGTAGGCCGCCTATATCTTGTACCCCGCACTGCATAGCGAGATCCTTCTGTAGTCATCTGTTCCTTACGGTGACCTGACTTTCGGGATGGGGATCTGCACTGTCTCCTTAGGGACTAAGTTCCTGGTCCATATCTCCTGTATCAGTGCATGTAGGTCCTTTATTAGCGATTCTGAGGCGTATTGGAATTCGGTCTGGAATCTATCCTGTCCTGGCATTTTCCCCTTCTTCAATCTCCCTATTATCTCCATCATTTCTTCCACCGAGGGGGTGGCGGGAGTGGCCAGTGATCGTCCTTCGTCATTGTTGGGCCTGTTCTTCCTGTTTCCCCTTCAGGAGTTTCTCCCACACTGTCCTGGTATATACAGGGTGTACCTAAGATACCTCGGATCCTTTACCATAAAATATACCGAAAAAAGTCCTAAAGCAAAATTGTACACATTTACCGTCGCCATATTTTTGATCACCAGGGACGTGCTGTATTCCAGTGGCGTATCAAACTTGCGTTTTCTTAAATGGAACACCCCATATTTTATTACTGATTGGGAAAGTACTTGAGAAATACTTATTTTTTTATGTAACATATTATATCCCTAACTAAACGATTTCGCTGTTATAACCTTTTATTGTCAAAATTTAACAGTTTTTCGAAATTTTTTTTGAGAAAAACTGTCGCGCAGGGGGTTTTGTTTTGGACTGAGGCACAGGTTAAGACCGCGTCCACGGACACGGACATTATGTTACATAAAAAAAGTAAGTATTTTTCAAGTACTTTCCAAATCAGTAATGAGGCGTTCCATTTAAAAAAATGCAAGTTTGATACGCCACTGCAGCACAGCACGCCCCTGGTAATCAAAAATATTTTAGAAATATTGCGACTGTAATTGTGTACAGTTTTGCTCTAAGACTTTTTTCTGTATCTTTTATGGTAAAGTGATCCGAGGGATCTTAGGTGCTACACCGTGTATTTTCTGTTTCCCCATTGTTTCCTCCTTCTGTGTTTTTTATGTGCATTGGTCGGAGCTTGGCGATGTTCTCCGCGAACTCGGCGAATTTCTTGATTTCGTGTTGCTCAAAGGCTCTGTTTTTCTCCTCCTTGGCGTCCCTTTCTTTGTTTCAGGTTTGTTTGGGTTTCCCCATAACCTCTTGATTGCTCTTCTATGATTATCCATGGCTCGCTTCCTATTCGGTTTCTGTTTCCCGAGTGTTTTCCTTGCTGCTTCTTTGAGCGTTTCAGCGATCCTATTCCAAGCTGGTCTTCCTTCCCCATTTTTGGTTCTGATCTCTCCCTGCTCCTTTCTATACTCCTCCCTTTTCTTCTCCCCTGACAGAAGTTTCACATCCCACCATTCGATTTTCCCGCTTTGCTCCTTGTCATTTCCTTCCGCCCCCTCCCCCATCCATCTTTACTTTCCCCCTTACCATTTTGTGGTCCGATCGTACTATTTTTGCCCATATGCCTACTGTGTTCGTGATGCTTATTTCCTTTGACTTCGTCCTTATTACGTGGTCAATCTGCAATTCAGTGTTTCCCTACTACTTTCTTCTCTAATCCTTATTTATCCTGATGCATTCTAGGAAGTATTCGTTTGTGCGCACTTCTTCTGTCATCGCTGTTACTTGTCATTAAGGTCTTAATCCTGATTCGGGTGGTGGGTGCTGTTTATTGATCGCTAAAAGAGACAGCTAGGAGAGATAGAAGAGGATAGGTACTCGGGTAGCAATGAAGAGGAAGGTCTCTTGTTCAAATCAAGAATTGGTAGGATAATTAATACGTGGGAAATTAATGCGCATAATCAATGTTATTAAGCTTTGCCGATTTCATTGACCTTAGTAGAGGGTATCATCATGGTTCCGCGATAATAAAAATGCACTCGACATACCTAATCAGTTGCAAAATGTCGACCAATAGAAGCACTATAAACGAGAAAGAAGTCTCATTTTTTAAAAATCTTAGTGAAGGGTGGTGGAAAGAAGACAGTGGATTGCAACTACTGCACGAGACTAATAGGTTGATGGGAGCTTTCGTACAAGAGGAGTTGTTTCGAACCGGGTTAAAAACGCAAGGTGCACGTGGTAGTGGTCAAGTGAAGATCTTAGAAGTTGGTTGTGGGGGTAAATTTAACCAAGCATCAGTAACTGCGATACAGTTGAGCATTTTTCAGGAGGTTTCCTTACTGAAATATTAGCTAGGATGGATTGTGAGGTGACGGCGATCGAGGTAGTGCCAGAACTGGTTGAGATTGCGAAAAACCACGCCTCGTCCGGTCCTGTAACCTCAAAGACCACTACTTACATTGCGCAGTCCATTGAAGATCATGCTAAACATAACGCCAACAAATATGACGTTGTTGTCTCCAATTTTGTTTTGGAACACGTCGACGAGAAAGAGTACTTCCTCGATTCGTGCACGAAGTGCGTCAAACGAGGAGGGCTGCTTATCGTCAGCGCGATGAGCAAAACAATATGGAGCTGGTTGATAATAAATCTGTACGAAAGGGTTTTTGCATATGTACCCAGGGGCACTGATGATTGGAATATGTGTATTACAGCGCAAGATACTCACAAAATGATACGCAAAAGTAGGTATTTGGTTTTGGCGATTTTTAATCAACGTGTAACATTTGCAGATAATTTCGAAATAATCGACACACGCGGGTACTTCCACAATATTCTAACTGGAAAGTTGTCTTGGTGGTCATGGTGGTCTATAGCTTATGTTATCGAAGCTAAAAAATTGTACTAGCGTACATCCCATTTTCGATCGATTAATTATTAAAATGTATTACAAGATAATCCATTTAAAAATAAGTTGATAAAAATCATAAAAAATTTGCCCCCCTCCCCCCACACCATTTGCATCTTCTTAAAATAACAATAGTTCGCCGCGTTGAAGACATTCTTCACGTCCAGTGGCGCCACCAGACAGACCTCTCGTTTTATTTATTTATTTATTATCCCTCTCTTGTTCTTGGCCCTCAACAGGCTTGCGCCCAATTACAGAGTGACCCGCATAATTCTTTTTAGAGGTGCCTCTGCAGAAGGTCTTAAGTTGTTCTATACTACTCCGGTATTTACCCTACGAATTAGGAAAACGGCAGGAAAAGCCTAATTCGGAGTAGACGGCCGAATGCTCGAAACTGGTCTAAGGTAATTCCCATCTCTGCCACAGATGAAAAATTCACCTCAACTCAGGTTCGAACACCCGACCTCACGTGTCATCCCTTCGTTTGCCTGCTTCATCTCTTGGATTTCCAGGTTGTTGCCCGTTTCAGTCTTCCAGAGAGTATCCAGAGCGTTATCTATCACTACTTTCCAAATCCCATGTTGGCTCGTAGCCACGATTTTAACCACCACGGAAAGCATGTTGTCTGAGCCCTGTGCTTTATTTACCGACAGGAACTGCTATTTCCTCAACCTTCACTAGCTCTTCGGTTCCCAACCTTGGCTGCTCACCTTGAAGCGACGTCAAACTGTCGTGGATAGGGAAAAGTTTCCTTATCGTAGGATCGGAAGTTGCGCCGTTCTTATCCCAATCTTACACGTCACCATTTAGTACGCCCTCCCTCAGATGTCTTTGTCTAGCTCATCGAACAACCCTTTCCAACACTTCCTCTTGCTGGCGCCAATCGGGTACTTCAACTGGTTTCTATCTCTTTTCAGAGGCGCCTTCTCCTCTACCGTACACATCCCGGTTCGCAACTTGCGTTGGAACCTCCTCCTTCTCTTCACTTACATTCATTACTCTTTTTGGTCTTCCGTCTCGCAGCTAATGTTTTTTGTTCTTCACATTTCTTAGCGCAATTTTTCTTTGCCAGCGATATCATTAATGTTTTTCTAAACAAAGCTCTCAACTCTCTCAACCCTTCTTCTTACAAGCTTTTTAAATTGTCAATTGGAATAACATTTACTCCTGCAGCCTTTCGAACCGATCATATCTTTCATAGCTGCACCTACTTCTGACTTCTCCAATGACATCCGTATTCACGTACGTTTCCTACCTTTTTTCGATTTCTGGTGGCTTCTCACGGGCCTTACTTATGCGGTCAGTTTTGCTTCTATGTAGGGGGAATTATTCGTTTCTAAGAGAGAGGTAATAGTAATTCGGGTTGAGCCGTCGTAGCGCTCAGGTCGAAATAACGCAGATCAAGACTCGCGTTGAGGCCTCTGTTAGCTCAAGTAAAAGATCCATAGCTAAAATTAGCGCCGAACCATTCGTTAGTCCAAATTGGAAACGTTCCAGTTCAGAAAATCAAAAGTAGCGCATCGTGGAAATAAACTTTCGGCAGAAAACGAGGCTGCAAATATGAAAAGTTTCCCCATAACCATCCGCTAATTGTAACAGAACACGTATGCAAATGTGTGCAAATAACCACATCATTATTTTACCAACAACGTAACATACAAAATCCTTATCCGAGAGTACCTTGAATCCAGTCCACTGACACTCGTTACGTTTAGGGACCATTCATGATTTTTGATTGATTTTTGAAAAGTCACTTGTTCTATCGTATTTTAACCTTCTCTTTCTTCTGTTTCAGGTTAGTTTGACCGCATCGATTTTAAGACAAATTTGGTAAGTCTCTTTTCTAATTGCACACGTTAATTTCACGCTCGATCGCCACCTCTTATATTATTACTTAAAATCTTTATTCGCAATTTTTAGAAACAATTAATTAACCAGCGTGCGATCTACGTACAAATAAATCGAATAAATTGAACATTGCTACTCCTTTTTTAGAAGGATTACAATATACCATAATTTGTTTTTTTTAATTGGTATCTACCTATACGTAATGCACCACAAGGAATTATATCTTGTCTTTTGTTGAATAATATGTAAATTATCGTGGTTTTTAACCACACGATTTACCGACTTAGTGTCAGACGTTAGACTTTGCTATTTCGCAATATTTGCATCGCGATTCGCTACCCCTTTCATTTGTTTGTTGTGTTATTGTCTGTTACAGATTTGCAGAACGCGCCCTTCTGAGCTCACAAAGTTCAAAGGTAAATCTTTTTAATTTTCGTCCACTCCTTGATTAACTTTTGATTACATGCTGGTTTTCGATAAAATCGAATTGTAATTATTACATTTGCTGGATATTCGCTTAACTATTATAGCTTCATTGTTTTCTGCCTGTTTTTGATATTAATACTTTCTCCGACTACGTATTGATCCTCTTTTTACTAAAAATTAATTCAAATTCAGATATTGACATAGCAGATATATACAGGGAATTTTTTCAAATGTATACATATGGGCGAGGTATGTATATTTGAAAAAGACAGATCAAATGCATGGAATAGATGCCTATAATAGGCAACCAACTCTGCACGAATTTTTTTGTTAATGATACTCGGCGTCTGCTATGGAAAAAGTCACTTGATTATTTCATGTCAAATTAGTGTTAGCCATTGGTCTTATTAGCATCAAATTGTGATTTTTTAGCACAAAGATGTATAGCAAAGGTGATAATATTGAAATATTAACGTGGTATCATGGTAGTAACAATTTAAGAACTGTAAAAACAGTTAAGTGTAATGTTGGTTGCCTAGAGCCATCTATTCCATACCGTGAATCATAATTCCATGCGTATGATCTGTTTTTATAAGTATTTATTGTCCATATGTATACATTTAAGAAAAATTCACTGTATAGTACAGTGACCTATTTGTAATATTTTTGAGATCATTGATTAAATCACCATCGATTGTGTGTTCGGTATCCGCCCAGTGGACGGATTGGGTTAAGATTGCACCTCGCGCTTTGCAAACCGACCCGCGCGGATTTTGTACTGTGTAACTCCGCTTAACGAATGCTCCTTTCCCACTATTTACACTCATATTTATAGCTATCGCTTTGTACATTCTGACTCAATAAGCGCTTTCTCATACAGCGATATAATAACACTTCCTCTGTGCTATTATAAGCTTTTTGTTATTTAACGCTCGGTTACGATAGATATAACTCGCTCTTTTTGCTCTTATTTTAATTACAATTACCCGATTCATTTATCTCGTCCCAAATATACACACCTATTGCAGCATACAATTATTTACATCTGAAACAAAATTGCATTTGTAAACCGCGATGATTACTAATTCCCCTTTAGCTTCCTTGCGGTTAAATAAAAACCAACGTGGGTTATGAATAAATTTGCAACAAATAACGCAAACGAGCTCCTGGGGTAATGATAAAAATAATACTGAAACACATTCTTTATTTATGAGTTCCTTGAATTTCAGACACTCATTAAATACATTAACAACCCTTAAATTACGGATACAAATTCACAAAGCTAAACATTACACCGACCATTAAATAAAATCCTGAAGTTTTGTGTCCTGTCCTGTAACAAAGGGTCTCTCAGGTCCTAAACAAATAAATTCCAGCATTGTACAGGATGTCCGGCCTGAAATTTCTAATGCTAAACCTACATTACGTTTACATCACGTAAATTTTCAACTACAGGGTGACTCGCTCTCATCGTCGGTATTATTTCAACCTAGAGAGATGAGACACCCCTGTAGTTTACACAACATTTCGACCAAGGACGTATTGATCCTCGATCCTGGATACGATTTGAATCTGCATATTCATCCTTGCTTAATTATTTAACTTTTATGCCCATATTACGAGTAGATGTATCAATGGATTTAAATTTCTCGTAGTGAAACGTGATATTCAATCATAAACCACAATTAGGACGAGCATCAAAGAATGGTAATTGCAATTTACTATATCCCGTTTTCTAAATGCAATAAGTAACAAAATCTGGCTAATTCAAGCCATTGTCCGCAATGAAAGCTTTCCTTTGTATGCCATATACGTAGTTTATGGCAGTAAACGTTTTTAGTACCGAAACCGGTATATGCAGCACAAGCAACAAAATTAATAGATCGAGAACAAAGAATTGGAACAATCTGATCTACCTACCTACTAAATTAGTTAACGATATCTGCAAACTTTCTATTAATACAAATAAAATGGTAATTGCGTAATCGAGTGTGTCATGTACAGCGATGTAGAGTACTAACGGAAGATTTGCGTAGAAATCGATGCCAACGTAGAACAGCCCTCGATTTTTCTACCACACCATTAAGGGATAATGCAAATGAAAATTTGGGGCTTTTTAAAATTTCGCGATACTTACACAACTGCTTAACAATACGTTATAAACATTAACAAATGCCTTATGTAACTAATTATGTTGTAAAGATCATAAATTACGCCCACGTTTAAGTAAAAAATTTAATCTAATTACGCAATTATTGCGGTTTTTTATTGGCATTTCGCTTCGGGTGACAAATCGGCATATATTTGTATAAATTTGGTACGGCAGTGTCTGGAAAATCACTTAACTGTTAGGTATGCTAAGACGACTAATGTTTAATTTATAACAGTATTTAGAAGGTGCGGTTAGACATAAATCTGCATTTTTGAAAAAATAGATCAAAGGTGGCTAGAATTTCCTTCGTCCTAGTCACCTTTCCGTATTTACCTCTTTACCTCCTCCGTATTTTGAATGGACCGCGTTGACAAACTAAACACCACGGACAGATTTTAAAGGGATACGTTCGTTGGTCTTGTTTTTTAATATTATTTATTTATTATTTATTATTCCTCTCTAAGTTCTGAGTCCTCAACACGCTTGCGCCCAATTCCAGCGTGATCCGCATAATGCTTTTTAGAGGTGCCCCTGCAGCCAGCAACGTTCTTCATTTAACCTGCTCTTGCGAGAGTGGTGAGATTATCCCTGCATCGTCCTGCACATTGATGGTTTAGATTAAAT